TTTTGTATTTACTCATTCTACAGATTTTTATTCAATCCCTCTATAAGCTACTACTCTGAACACTAAGGACATAGTTCTCATTTAGTGCTTCCAGAGATGGTAAAACGAACTGCCTTATGTTTCTCATGTGCTGACCCAAATTTATGTTGTCTAAGATGTGATGATTCTTCCTATGTGTTTCCTGGATTTCTGTAGTAATATTTGACACGTATAATATGAAAGTGAGGATTCTTATAGCCTTGCAGAGACCTTTTTGCAAGTGCTTACAAGCAATTAGTTCCTACTGGATGTAGTTTTCACACAAGTCCACATAGATGCACTTCTGTTTAACACTTCACTGAGTAAGCTTCCTGCCACTTCCTCCTCCTGGTGATAGAAGCAGCTACTGCCTCCAAATCAGCATGCTCTTCCCCTATCAGAAGATCATCCCTTTTTTGGGGGTCCTAGACTCTACTCCCAGAACAGCTAAGATGGCGAGTCAGCCAATACACAACAACTGGCTTTGACTTCTACTCAGTTCACTATCACACTCACATAGAATAATGGCAATTGCTAAAGATGCTATTTGGCTCATTTCTTGTTTTCTGGGTGTTTGGCAATGTGGTTGGCTTTTCTGAATGGTGTTCTGGTAAATTATTTGGACACCTGTAAGGATGATGTTTGCTGATGGAGGACAAAAAGAGACTGACTTTGGGGTTATTCAAACTTGATTGTCAGCTTGGTGAGGTTTAAAATCACCCAGGGCATACCTGTGATTACTTTGACTAAGTTAACTGAGGTAGGAAGGCTCACTCACTATGGTTAGCACAATTCCCAGGGTGATGTGGGATGCCCTTCTGTATGCTGTGAATCTGTTTTGCTTTTATTGGTTGATAAATAAAGCTGATTTGGCCAATGGCCAAGCACAATAGAGTCAAGTGAGAAATTTCCCTCCCTCCACCCCCAAAAAGATACCAAGAGGAAGAAGGTGGTGGAGTCAGGAAGCCACCATGTAGCTGCTGGTGAAGCACGATGTGAGGTATCTATCTAGCCACAAGCTTCGTGGTAAAATTTAGAAGAATAAAAATGGGTTAATTTAATTGTAAGAGCTAGTCAGTAATATGCCTGACCCATTGGCCAAACAATTATAATAAATATTAAGCCTCAGAATGATTATTTAACAAGTGGCTGTGGGGACCAGTGGGCTGGAGACAAACTGACCCAGTTGGACCAGGAGAGACAGACAAAAAACTCCAACTACACCAGGGCTTGTGTCCTATAGTATAAACTGAGAAAGCTGGCTAAGCACTGGCATCCATTGTTCTCTGCCCCTTGACTGTGGACCATAGTAACCTCAAACTGGAGCCCAAACAGTCCATTCCTTACTTAAATTGCCTTTGTCAGTGTGCTTTATGAAAGCATTAGAGAAATAAATAATACATCAACTTAGAACTGATAAGTGGGGCTTTGCTGTGAGAAACCTGACCATGTTGTTCTTAGGCCTTTTGAACTGGTTTGAGGGATGGATGTGGAAGAGTTTGGAGCTTTGGGCCAGGAAAGCTCTTTAATGCTGCAAACAGAGCTTAAATGAGCTGATGGGAACCTAAAAGATAAGCATGACCAGAGACACATGGACAGTGTGGGCCCGGCCGGAGAACAAGAACTCCATCAGGAACTGGAATGGGCCGCTCCTGTGATATTTTGGCCAAGAATCTGGATCTGTTCTGCTTGTGTCCTGAGAACTTGAGTGAAGCTGACTTTATAGCTGATGGACTAATTTGTTTGGCAGGGAAAACTTAAAGACGGGAGAACTGGTGCTGAGGAAACAGCTGTAATTGTTACAAAGCAAGTAGCGCTGAGAGGAGTTTGGGGTTCCACCAGAACTGTGAGCAAGGTGTCCTAAGGGCAAGACCTCACCCCTCAGAGGCTGAACCTTGTAAAAACACAAATTTATTTGCAGGAAGAAAGCCTAAACCGCAGGGTTTCCCTGCTCCTCCAAAACAACTGATTAGGGAAGTGTTTCCCCAGGGTCATCCGAACTTCACAGTATCACCTACACGGCACTGGTTTTACAAGCATGAGAGATGCAAGATTGAGGGAGTCTTGAAGTCCTAATCAGTAGTTCCAGGCAGTGGATAAGGCAAGGCAGTGTGACAGTGTTGGAGTCCCTGCAAGGAGGCCCCGATGTGGGCATTAAAGATGCAGCATAAGTTACAAGGGAGATGTCAGAGTGTTGGGGAGGTCAGGACTATGGCATGCGTACCAAGGCAGGCTGCAGGCACAGAATGGAGCTGGTATGACAGATTCTATATGTGCTGAAGGCTGAAGTAGCACTGGAGGAGTTGGAGGACATAAACCCTTTGAGTTCCAAATGCCAGGCATGGAGCTGTATGTGTTGGTGTTTTACCTACTGGATTTGGGTCTTGCTTTGATCTGATCATTCCTTACTATGCTCCTATTCTTCCTTTTGGAATATGAATTCGTATTCTCTGCCAGTGTATATTAGAAGTATTTGCCTTGAGTTTGAAATGAGGTGAGAACTTTGGACATTTATGCATTGGTGGAATTGTTGGTGACTATGGGGACTTCTGAAGTTGGATTCTATGTTGTGTTAGGAGATGAACATGAGAGGTTAGGGACAAGAGGTGGAAGATATTTATTGAAGGTGATGAATTGACAGGGACTGGAGCTACAATGGTTAATTTCTACTGTCAGCTTGATGAGCTCACCTAGAAGATGGACCTTTGGGAATACCTGTGTGCTATTTTTTTTTGATTAGGTTAGTTGAAGTGGATAAAACTATCTACTCTGAGTGGCACCATTCCTGGGATTGGGTCCTACACTGCATAAATAGGAGAAAGTGGGTTGAGTACCAGCATGCATCGCTCTCTGCCTCTTATCTGTGCATGTAGTATGACCAGTTGCTTCATGCTTCTATCCCCGTGATTTCCCCAGCACAGTGGACTATACTGCCATCTATAAACCAAAATAAGACTCTTCTTCCTTAAGTTGCATTTGTAAGATTTTTTTTTTTAAATCACAGAAACAGGGAAAGTAAGTTAGTGCTTGTTTTCATTTGAGCTAAGGCCTTGCTGCAAAGCTAAGTCTAGCCTTGAACTCACCATCTTTCTGTTTCTGTTTCCCAAGTACTGGAATGGTAAGTATGTGCCACTATACTTAGCTTTGATTTCAAGTTTATCCCACAGCAGGACAAAATTGGAATCTTTTGTATAGAGTCATTTATTGTAGGAAATTAATTGAACTCGGCTTTAAAAAATTGTTATTCATTGGCATATGAACACAACTTCACTTTACAGAATATTTCTTTGTAATGAATTGGTAGGTTTCAGTGAAAGGTTAAATGGTATATTGATGGGAGGTGTCATTCTGTAAATATGTTTCTCAGACTGGTTAATGAATAAAGCACTATTGGCCAATAGGAAAGCAAGATAGGTGGGACTAGGAGACAAGGAGGATTTGAGGAAGTAGTAGGGAGGAGTCAGTATGTAGAGACTGGAGAGAACAGAATGCCAGCCCCACTCTCCGGTAAGATGAGTTCACATGGAAGTACTTAGATTAATATAAATGGGTTAATAATTAAGACAGAGCTAGCCGATAAGAAACTAGTAACTGGCCAACAGCATTATATCAAATACAGTGTCTCAGTGTGTTATTTGGTGCTGGTGCAGCAGTGGGCCCAGGCCGGCAGGGAAAACCTACTCGTAACAGTATATACTCTTCATTCTTCTTACAGTTATTTACTGAGAGCCAGTACTATTCTAGAGAATCCATCTGTGGATGGCACACAAAATTGCTAGGTTCAGGAATGATGCCTGTGTGAAGCAATGCTATTCCTCTTTATACATCGATCAACTTCAAAAGTGCTAGCAAAAGCTGGAAGGACTCTGGGAAAAAAAAAAGTGAATACATGTCTGGAGGCATTGGGGAGAACTTCTGATTAATGCTGCTTAATTTGTATCAGATCCAAAAGCCTATGAAGGAGGAAAAATTGAATTTGGTCGCGATGGTACAAGCATTTACATGCCATATGAACAGACTGCGAAGTGTAGAGTCTTAGAAGGAAAGAAGGGGTGGGGTGGATAAAAATATGAGAGAAAAGTATGCAAAGTGATAGAAGTCTGCTGGCTGGAGAGGCGATTGTACTAGTATGCAAGGTTGCTGAATGCTTGCTTCTAGGAAGGCCAGCGTAGGTAAGAAGAACTTGCTTGCCTGTGAGAAAGCCCTCTGGGCTGCACTGACTGGAGAGACAACACAGGAACAATGGAAGGTGGAAGAAGCCAGCGCAAAGAGTGGAGGATGCTGGCAGACACCCAAAGATGTCAATAACTAAGTAGAAGACTGGAATGCTTCCAGTGTCATTCCCACAGGACCATTAGAAAGAGTTTCTGGGAAAGAAATGCCCAGGAAGAATAATGCTGAACATTTTCTTGAACGAGAAGAAAGGAAGCAAAGGTTTAGCAACACCTGGGGTACTACAAGTAGTCCGGGAAACACTCATTACAGATGTGAGGATAAAAGTTAGATGCCACATGATGCTGGGTAGATGACAGCATCCATCTCTATCATTTACATGACTATAACGTGTAACTGAACTTAAATTCTTTGATGATATTTTAACAAGGAGTACACTGTGCTGGCAAGATGGCTGCTCAACAGGTAAAAGTTCCTTGATATACATGCCGGATGACATGAGTTTAACAATGGGGACCCATGGTGGGAGGAGAGAACTAGCTCCTTTAAGTCTTCCTCTCATCTCCACACCCGCACTGTGTCTACCCACTCACGTAAACCCCACACTGGTGATAAATAAAAAATTAAATATGTAAAAGGACCACACTGACTGGTTTGACAAATAGCCATAGGGGACAAAATTTAATGTCACTTCATTACTGGAAATGGATACAGAAAATACTAAAGTATCCCTTACAAGTCAATATTTGGTTTAAATATTTCATGTAGAGATGCTAATTGCCAAGGAAAATCTTGCAAGTAATTCTTACTTGATGCTGGCAGGAAAAGTTTCTGAACTACTTCTCTATACATAGCCTCATCTTTAATCAACAGCTGGGCTGCTTCCAAATTCACCGGGTTTTCTAGGATAGGGTTGGAAAGAAGCACCTAAAAGAAAGCACATACAACAAGCAAGTTTAAAATAAAATTTCCTTAGAATAACAGGACAAGCCAATGCATGTAAACTCAACAAGCATTTAGTGAGTGCCTCTAGGAAGTAGGCATAGAGATGATAAGACACGGAACATCCCCGGAAACTCACTCCATCTCGGTTTTATTTTGTGTACTCATCAAACACTGGGATCAAAGCAACCCCCACCACTATAACATCCATTCCTATCATATAAATTGAATTTTTATGTAAAGTAGGCTAAGCATCAGAGAAAAATGGAAAAAACTTCCATTACATACTAACAGAGGACCACATTAGATCATAGCTAAACACACAGGTATGGAAGCTTACACACTCGTTGATATCCCTTTCAATCATTAAACAATTTAGCCTCTGTAGTAGTATTCTGTGATTGTTGTGACTACCACAAATTAGTATCTTAAAAGACAATTTTATAATCTCTGTATTTTTAGGTGGAAACCCAGGATGCAGAACTAGTTTCCAAATTGAACAAGGTCAGAGGCCATGTATTGGCAGGTTGGGCTCTTGACAGAAGAATCTGACATGTGCTCACAAGCATGAGGTTGGCTGAATTCAGCTCCTTGCAGCTGTAGAACTGAGGATCTCAGTCACTGTAAGCTGTGTGCCACCCTCTGTTCCTACAGACATCTCTTCAGTCCTTGCCTTCGACATTTAGCACCTCAGAGCTAGCCATGGTGTGAGAGAACTCCTAGGGCTTGGAATCTGACCTCTCCTTTGGTCACATCCTTTCTTCAACTGTCTTCACTCTTCTATCTTCTAATGCTAACAGATCATGAACACTTTGCATAGTACAGACTAACCTTAAGGTGAGTTGACTGAAAACCAAAATTCTGTATGTATTCCATTCACAGTAGTACGTAGGTTAGTGTCTTGGGGGGAACCCTTTAAAATTCTGCCCACCACAGAATCCACGCATTTGGGTCAAACAGATGACCAAAATTGCTAAGCTAGACCATGATTTGCATATTGGTCATCTCAAAAATGGCTTTACCCTAGACTGAAAGTGTCTGTTTAATAATTCAATATTTTGAACATTGCATGTTATAATATGCAGGCTGATAGAATACAGTTAACAGAATTATTGCAGCTACTACTTGTGGCTGTTCGTTTTTGTTTGTCAACTTGAGACAAACTGGGGCCATCTGGGAAGAGGACACCTTAATTGAGGAATTGCCTCCATCTACTTGGCAAGCCTACGATTCATTTTCTTGATTAATGATGGATACAGAAGGACCCAGCCCACTGTGGGCAGTGCCAGCTCCAGGCAGGTAGTTCTGGGCTGTATCAAGCTGAGCAAGCCATGAGGAACGATCACTCTTTTGTGATCTCTGTGTCAGTTCTTGACTCCAGGTTTCTGCCTTGAGTTCCTGCCCTGGTTTCCCCCAGTGATGGATGGTGATCAGAAAGTTTAAGTCAACAAACCCTTTCATCTCCATGTTAATGTTGGTTAATTTTTGTCACAGCACAGAGAAACAAACTAGGACACTGCCATAATACTTATATATGGTCACAGGGCAAAAGGAACAATTTTGGCTTTAAAGTTATGAAAAAAAATCAGGTGGATAACATAGCTCAGTGGGTAAAGGCATTTGTCACCAAGCTATGTTTGATCCTAGGAACACACATTGTGGAAGGAGAGCTGACTCCCATAAGCTGTCCTCTGACCTCCACATATACTTCATGGCCTGTCACCCCCAAATAAAGAGATAAAGGCAAAATAAATAAATAAATAAATAAATAAATAAATAAATATCATGAAAAGGTCATGTGTGGTAGCACACACCTTGGGGGGATGGAATCAAGAGATGGTGAATTTGAGGTCAACTAGGACTTCATAGTGAGACCCTGTAGTTAGATATTCACTTTGTTCGCACCTGTAGCATAGAGTACGCCCACTGGGGGTGGAGACAGGGGCAGATGTTACCTGGGGGAACGAAGTCTGAGGAGGGGGCTCTGAGAGCTCTCTTGCTTGCAGCACAGGGACAGGAGAACATTCGAAGGCATCCTTGGGACCAGGAACCTGTTGGTGTTCATCTGTCTATGTTGTTATTTCTCCCTGAATAAACATCTATTCGGCCTATTTGTTTTTCCTGATCCTTATTAAACGTCAGTAAGACCCTACTTTAAAACAAACAAACAAACAAGGCAAGTGAGATGGTTCATGGGTAAAGGTGCTTGCTGTCAAGCTTCACTACCTGAGTTTGATCCTCAGGACCCACACAGTGAAAGGAGAGAAATGTCTCCAGCAAGTTGTTCTTGACCTCCATATGCATGCTGTAGCAATACATACAGTGAGTAATAAATGCATACAGAAAACCATAAGCAAACCCAGAACAAAAATATGGAAATTATAGTAGACTTTCTCAATTGAATGTAATCATTCTGACATTTGATAGTTCAAAAGCAACAAGAATTCTCTGCTATTACTGGAGTTTTCTCTTTGGGAAACACATTCAGGCTACATTTCCAGGATCATAATAACTGCCTAAATAAGGATTCAGTGCAGATCCCACCCTACCTTTCAGAGTGGGTGGGAAGCCGAGGAGACTAATCTTCAAGAGCAAGCTTTTGGTCTGTGGCTGGAGAGAATCTTACTCAGCAAGGCACATCTGGCAAATCTTTGCATAGTTTCTCATTAACTATGTGTAAGAGACTTATGCACATAGCATATACTCAGCTTTTACATGCACTTAATGTTTTTTTAAAAAAAATTGGCATACTAGTGTATGTTATTAGCATATTAGCATATGTGTAAGTCAGACATCCTGCTAAAGGAGCCAAATAGAACAAAGGCCCAACCTTTAAATTAGCCATGTGGTGATGGAATTTCAATAACAAAAATCTCCAGAGATTAAACGGAGAATTATGGATCTTCAGTAAGTGACTGTAACAGTAGACAAATGGGTTTTATAATATCCATTTGAATGCAGCTCATGGTTTTGAAATTTGATTTATGAGTATTGATATTTACCTTTTTATTTTATGTGGAACCGGAAATTCTCTAATTACTTAAGATTATTATTTTTATGGTGTGATGACTAGTATTTTAAAAATACTTTAAACAATATTTGAAGTACCATCTTTATGAAAAGCAACAATACGGCAATCAATCTGTTTTTTTTTCACTCACAAGTAAACAATAATTATGTGGTCTATATTTGTAGTGTCCATTAGTAGTACTACTAAAGAGTAAGTGAAAAGTCAACTCCTCAACACATTTCAATGTGGCTATCAGCTATAGTCCAATAGAAAACAGTTCAGAAAATAGTATGTGCATTGAAGTTCCTTGGATAGAAATCCAAATACTGTTGGGTACCTGGCAAAGCAAGCACCCCCCAGACTAAAGCCATAAATCCTGCTCAAGGAAAAGGAATCAGATAAGGCATACTTGAGGGAAGAGTCCCTTGATCTGACTGTGATGTGAAGAATCCTTTGATGGACAGTTTGGATAGCAAGAAGATGGAGCACTGGCCAAGAATTACTCTGAATTCTTTATGATCAGAATTGCATCAAGCATTGTGAGTGCTGAAAAGCATGGGGATACAGAGTTGCATAGTGTGAGTCTGAGCCCAACTGCAAGAAGTAGGTCCTCTGCTCTGGGAAAGAATTTGTACTTAGCCCTGAAGACAATGTGGTAGCCAATGGATGATTCTAACACTGAGCCATCTCTCCAGGTCCACCTCTTAGATTTCTGTATGAGAACAAAATCTCACACTAGTAGGTAGATGTTCAATACATGTTTATAGAATGAATAAATGAACTGAATTGTTTTAAAAGTTACATTTTAATATGTCAAGATGATTCACCACAATATTAACTATTTTATTTTCAGGAATAAGAAATCAAAATTATATGACAATTCTGGTAAAAAAAAAAAAAAAAGAATTATGTTAAGAGTTGTTCTCCAGGCATTCCAAATGTTCGAAATTTAATAATTTTTATCACCAATATTCTTGATGACAAGTAGATTTCTAGGGAGGATCTTGCAGTCAAAGCAATGCTACTGGAATAATTAATTTTAGCAGTAGATGAATAAGGAGGACATGAGATGGAGGTATATGCATCTGAGGATGTAAACCCAGTAGTGAATGTGGCATTTGGGAACCAGACATTGACCTGAGAAGAGAGCATTTTTGGTTTCATAGTTCACCAGATTTGATATGATCACTTATAAGAGAAAGAACAGCTAGCATTGTCTAGAACACAGAAGAAAGCTGAATATTCTAAGGTGTAGCCAGTGACTCACCTCTCTGAGGTAGATGAGGCCTGAGAATTAGGAAAAAACTCTAGAGACATGTTAGAAGCTGAAGTAAAGCCAGGCTGTATGTCTTTAATTTAAAACATCCAGGCTGTATGTCTTTAACTTAAAAGTTCTCAATGGTTCAGCTCTTCTTTCATAAAATGTGTATTATTTGACTGTGAAGGGCTTTAGCCATCAATTTCAAAATAGGTCGGCAGCTAAAGATCCACTCTTCAGCTCCTGATGAAGACATTTTGATTGACGCCAGCTTGCTAAGACCCTCTAAGCATTTGAATATGCTGTGTATGTGTTGACCCTTGTGTGATGAATGAGTGGGAGAATTAACTGTGTCAAAGTGTTAAGGTAGGCATGGTGGTACATGCCCATATTTCCAGCCCCCAGGAGGTGCAGGCAGGAGAATCATGGGTTCAAGGCCAGCCTGGGGGCTATACAGTGAGGCCCGTCTTAAATAGAATCTCACACACAGAGAGAGAGCATTACAATTAACTATTCTTACCTGTAGAGCAAGTAAGATGTTGCTTAGTGTATAATTTGTGTTCCACTTGTCATGGCTGTCCAAAAAGTCTATACTGGGCTGACCGGTATATGGGTCTACTGTATTAAAACAATGTATTAATTTTAGTACTCAAAAGTTATAAAGCATCATAATGACACATAAGAAAATTATTTCAACTACTCTTCTTCCCTTTTTCCTATTTCATATAATGATATGTGTCCACCAGATTTAGCTGATTATACGCTCCTATATAATATGAATTTCAAATACTGGATTTTTGAGGCTGTATGTGAGTGTGTATATGTGTGATTCACGTGCACATGTGTGTATGGGTGTATATGTCTGTGTGTGCCCAGAAGCCAGAGGAGGAGGCCAGGAACCCTGCTCTTTCTTCATCTTACTTCTTTAAGAAAGGCTCTCCCATTGAAGCTGGTGGTCAGCAAGCCCTAGTAAGCTTTCTCTTCCCGCCCCCACAGTGCGGGTGTTAAAGGTGTGGGTGGCTGTGGCTGGATTTTTATGTGGGTATTCAGTATTTGAAGTCAGATGCTTGTATAAGCCATCTGCTCAGCTTCAAAACTAATTTTAATTACAAAAATAATAGTGGATTTGGGAGGATAAAATGTATATAAGAAAATATAAAATAAAACATGAATGTTCCCTGCAAACAGTTCCACAAGTCACATTGTTCTCTACAAACTTCTATCTGTATACCTATAAGTACTCATACGTTTATCACATGAAAGGACACATTTACTTTTGTTTTCAAGGTGTTTTTTCATTTAAAATAAATGTTCAATCTATTTCTAGTGTTTATTATTAAAATTGACTTACATTCATTTGTGTGTATATGCATATGTATGTCTAGAAGGCAAAGGACAACTTGTGGGAGTTGGGGATTATCAGGCTGCTCAGCTAGTGATCTTTCCTGCTGGATCACTTTGCTGGTTCAAATATGCTTATTAAAAAAGTATGTAAGCACCTACTATGTGCCAAGCAATGATGATTCTAGGGACACTGCAGTGACAAAGAAAATCCAGATTTCAAATATAGGGGAAAGATGTAGTATATGGAAAATTTTACTTAAAAACTTTCTCTGTTAAAAAAAAATCTCATGTCAACAGATATTGTCATTATAATGGGTTCTCTGTATGCATAGGTTTGGAATCCATGGATTAAACGGAGATTTAGAAATATTCAGAAAAAATAGCATTCATATTCAACTTGTACAAACATTTTTCTTGTCATTATTTTTGAAACAATATAGCAGATCAACTATGCACATAATTTCATTGTTAAGTAACCCAGAGATGATTTGAAGTATATAGGAGAGGCTGCAGCAAGGCAAGGGTTAAGGGCTGGGAATGAACATCCTTCAATATAACATACTTTTGTGCTACTATGTCTACAGAATAATCCATAGCCTGGAGATATATCCTGATTAGAAATTTCCAAATCACTTCCCTAATAGGTCACCATTATGTCAAGGAATAATGTCTGCCCAAGCCCACTACAATTGAGTTTTAATGTCTTTTAACATTTTGTAAACAGAAGTGATGAATCACAATATTTTGTGTTTTAGTTTGCATTTATTTCTTCATGAGATTGTTTTGTTGTGTTCAGTCTATCCGGTGTTTGTTCATGGATTTTACACTGTTTTCTGGTAACTGACAAGGGTTCTTTATGTGATGTAGATATTCTATCCTGTACCATGAATGGTCCCTGAGTTTGCATAATGCAGTTTTGTTATTTTTTAGTTTGTTTTTAATGTGCATAGCAATAAAAGCTTTTAAAAGTTTGTATAGTTTAGATGTCATGGTTTTCAGTAGTTTCAGGGAAAGGCTCCTATACAAGCCCACAGTTACATTACGTTGTCTTCTGTTTCAGAATCCAATTAAAGAAAATGCAATGCTTCAGGCTACCACTATGCATAGAACTCAGCAGAGCAATCTGACATACTTTTTTTCCAAAGATTAAGTTGTCTCGTATATTATTTTTATAAAATGAAAAATTAGATTCAACTTAATAAATTATGCACGAATATGTAATATCCAGCCATTTAAGATGGTCTTTTACAGAATGTATGGAAATGCAGGACAGGGATGGGGAGATAGCTCCTTTGTCAGGAGCACTGCTGAGCTTGAGCTTGAGCTTGGTTTGCAGCACTCACACTGGGTGTAATGACCTGTAACACCAGCCTCTGGGGATCTGAAACCCTCTTCAGACCTTCACCAGCACAGAACCCATTCCAGGGCACAACCCCCACCCTTTCACATAATACATAATTAAAACTAAGGAGTTTTAAAATGCAGGAAAAAGCTAGACTCAAAACGGTACAGCACATCTCAACTGTGGAAAAAATGTGCACCCAGAAAAATGAGGATCGATGTGGTAAAATATTAAAAACGGCTCCACTATTAGGATTCAAAGGGATTGCCATTTTCGCTGACTTTTAAAGTTTCCCCAGTGAGTACTCTTACCTTAATTATAAGTTGTTAAAGGGGAACTTGGCTATTAAACACCCCCCCCCAAGACTGCATGGACAAAGCCACAATAACACAATAGTAAGAGTCTCACTTAGTCCTTACCATTTGGATGAAAAGGAATTGTTAGAAATTTCACAACTGGAGGAACAAGGTTGTACTCTGGTGTAAAATCTATTGTCAGGTTGAAAACACATCCTGTAATATAGAAATGAACAGTGCCATTAAAGTGTTATAATTAGCTCTAACCTGATGGAACACTGGACGTTTTCCTATGATTACACCTATCCATTATTTTCTTGTTTTTTCCTTCAATATATTTTCTTCTTTAAATTTATTTTTTCTCATGTGTGCGTGTGCGCACATCCACGTGTGCATGTGTGTAGGTTAGAGGACAATGTGCCAGAGTTAGTTCTTGCCTTCTACCACATGGGTTCTTGGGTTTGAACTCATGTCTTTAGGCTGGGCAGCAAGTGCTCTTACCTCCTGTGCCATCTCCAGTTACTTCCCCATGTTTGTCTTAAATTCCTTCACCGTGCACAGGCCATTCTTTGTTGTGAACCAGCTCTTTAACAAATACCTGCACTCAATTTTGGTTTCTCCTACAGTTCTGTCCACTCACGATTTCTGTCTCCTACACACTGTTTCCTCTCATGTTGACTAAACTCTCCCTTCCCAGAAACTGCAGCAACCTTTCCTGCCTGTAATATGAATTCCTTCTCCTTTAGAACTTGGGCTAGTGTTCACTTGTCAACTCAAATATTCCTTCCTATGAAAGCCTTCCTGACTCCTGTAGGTGGGATTGCTAATCCCTCTCCCTTCTTTGGTGTTCTTTCCAAAATCTATGGAAGCATATATTATATTTTACTGTCATTGTTGTTTTATCATTGTCTCATCCACTTCACTTAAAGAATTTTCTTGAAATAAGTAACTGAAATAACTCATAGTTAATAAAGTTTATAGTGGGCTGGGGGATCCTTGAGGATCTGACTTCTGGAAATTTAGGGGAAAATTATAAAGGGAAAGCCAAGAAATAAGTGTGGAATGTTGAAGTCAACAGGAATTTTCATAGGTATTCCCCTGATCTCATGAAGACTGTTGCAAATATTCTAATAAATATACTTTATTGGGTTTGCTTTTTTAAAACACAGTAACATGGTGCTGGAGAGATAGCTCAGCAGTTAAGATCACTGGCTGCTCTTCCAGAGGACCCAGGTTCAATTCCCAACACCCACATGGCAGCTCGTAAATGCCTCTAACTCCAGTTCCAGGGGATCTGATCCCTTCACAAAGACACACAGGCAGGCAAAATATGAATTCACATGAAATAAAAATAATAAGTAAATAAAATTTGAAAAGGAAATATATACAGTAACATTAAGGGCTGGGAGTGAGACTCTGGAGTTGATCCCTAGTTTCCCCCATCTACCCTCTGCCACCTCTCAAGACAGATTGATTTTGGAAACACAAACCTTCCCAGATTGAATTCTGAAGTCCTTCGATCTGAGCTTCCCATTTCATAAGATCTTCACTTATAGGAAAAGCAGTAACACTCTGTCATTAAAAAAATAAATAAATAAAATAGACTAAAATGGTCTTGGTAGTTTTGAAAATCAGATTCTGGGTTTCACTGAATTTTAAAAATCTTGACTTTTTCTTGATAGTTCTATTTATTGATATGGCGAGGTGTTGCTTGTCTTAAGGTAGATGCTAGGAAACACATGAAATAAATAGTAAATTAAAAACAAATTGCTAAGCATAGAAGTCACTAGTGGGACCAGGAAATTGAGACTGGGTTGTGTGTCTATACAGAGTGTGTGGAGGGCATGGTCATTTAAGGTTCAATGGGGAAAGGAGGAAATAGTTGGGAATTGGAAAGCATGTGTTTACTAAAAGCTCCTGAAGATGATGGATGTTGTGTGGAAGGCATGATGTAGGGTCATTTCCACGAAAAAATTCTGAACTCAAGTCCATTGTATTTATGAGCAGGAGTTTTTCTTGTGTTATGAAAGGGAATATAAAGTTAATTGTGTTTCTAGTTCTAACTCTGCCATGGATTTCTTTTTTTCTTTTTTCTTTTTTCTTTTTTTGGTTTGCTTTTGGTAATGGATAAATGTATAAAAGTATGTCCAATATCAAGTGTAAAATCTAATGGGAAGCTCCACTGTTTCTTTTCCAAATGGCCATTCTAAATGTGTGGAAGTTCATTGGAATGTATGTATATGCTTCAGGTCTGTTTAATTTTGATGTGTAATTTTTTTTTAAAGTTTTCATTCTTATATTAAACTATAAAACTTATTTAGGAAAAGAAATTAAAAATCCCCAGGTTACTGTTGTCTATAAAAACATACTTTTCCTACATTTCAGTATTGTTCCTATGAAGAGACAAGAATGTGCTTCACAAACAAAAAAGTTATGCTGAATGTACTTGAATAAGTTCAGCAAATCCCTTCTGAGCCAGCAGACTGAATAAGTGCACTGACTATCCAAGCAAGCACTGTATTTGCCTTTCTCCATCATCTGCACTGATGTAACCCACCACTAAATTCTGTTATGCCCGAGAAGAGCATAACTTAGATTGAAGAGTCATTTAACATGAGGTCCACACACCTGCAACGTGTACATAGTTGATTCTAAGCATCTCCAGAAGTTTTTTTTTTTTAATTTGTTTATAGTAGGCATAAAATGGAACATACATTGTGACCTACCACCGACAGGGCTATTGTCGGCACCACTGCACATACTCTTCTATGGATGGCTTTGGTTCTACTTTTTTAAAAAGCATTTCTCCTTTCTCCCTTTCATTTGTTTTTCATTTCCCATAAATTAACCCATGGCACAAATGAACATCAATAACTTCACTGGGAGCATTGAGACAAAGGTATGCTTTTTCTTCTGCATTAAAATTAGAAGGCAAAGCCACTTATGCCTTGTGTTGGTAAAGGAAAAAAAGGTACTAGAGAGTATGCAGTAGAACACAAAAATCAAAAACAAAGCGTCAGAAAATGATGGAGTGGATCCTGGGGAAAAATCTATACTGAATCTGGGTGCTAGTTAGCTGGTAAGAAAATGAAACACTGCTTGGTTCCTGATATTAATGAGCATGAATCGAATCTTCCAGTCAGTTTTTGACACACTCTCATAACCAAGGGCTTCGGCTTTAGAGACATTGCCCCTCACAATGTACTTAAAATTGTTACCTATCATTACCTTGAAACAGTAGATATTATTCTGGAATAGTGTAGTGGGAAAGTCGGTATGGTTTATAGAATAAAGTCATGGTTTATAGAATAAACACGGACTAGCCTTAAACAGTATCACTGGATGAAACAGAACCCTCCACACCCCTGTACTTATTTACCTCATTTCTGTTGTCCTGGAATTCCTTGAACTCTCTTTCCAGCAAGATGTAAGCTCTGGAGTACATCCCGAGGCAGTGGAGGGCCTGTCACCTGTCCCCTAACTACTCAGGTTTACTCTGGGCGGAGTTCTTGACAGAGGTCTCGGGTCACCCTCTGACCACTGGTTAACGGTTACTAGCTCCCCAGTCAAATGACTGCTAAGTTATGATTTAACAGTGACTTCCCACCTCTGACGCCTCCAAGCGGAGACTCCCAGAACTGGGGTCCTTCTTATCTGAGGTGTCTCACTGCCAGCCACCACCCCCAAGAAAAACTTGGGGGACCACTTGAGAGAAGCCCGTATTGTTAGTATGAGAAGAGGAAATGGAAAGGGAAAGCCCGAAGCAGCGCTGACAAGTTCTCTTTCTGCCTTCCAGGTGAAGACTGAGTCAGCTCAGCTGGACAAAGCAAACCAGTTGCTAAGCGACAGGCCTCTGGAGGAGGTGTGACCTTGAGGTAGTGTCTGCTTCAGTGATGGGACTGTAGGTCCTCTTAGCCAATCGATGATCAGTCTCCGTGGGGAAGGCCAATGAAGTCAGCACTCAAGAGGACAATCCCCGCCCCTCAATGCTCCCGGGACTCCTCTGGTGTAGAGGGCTTTCCCTGCTTCCTAGGACTTGAACTGTAAAAACTGTAGAAGTTTCTTACGAATGCCTGTCTACCAGCTGCCCTGAGCAAAAAAAAAAAAAAAAAAAAAAAAAAAATCTTCCAAATGCCAATTTTAAAACCAAAACCATTTCTGCTTCCCACCTAGGATTCCGATTTTTTCACCTCTTTTCCAGGCTTGATAGCTGAAAGCAACCCCAACCTTCTTCATGGCTTGCACTCATTTTCTGAGCTTCACTCGAGTTAACAGCTTTGCCACTTGCCTAGACACAGAACATCGTCTTATAGGACCGCCAACCATATATTTAAACTAATACGTGAGCATGTAATTCCTGCTTAAAGTACTTTAATGGGACCTTGTTACCCCCCCACCCCAGATCATTTTGCCTCCATCTTCACCACTGTAAACTTTGACTGATTTCTCCTGTGTTACTGTTTCTCTCACCCCGATTCACACTTGAGGTGCCCTGGGTAATGAACAGCATGCCCCTTTCCCGTGTGTACCAACCATCCTCTCTACCTGGATTTCATTCCTATTTTCTTATGATCAATGCTTACATATTGGAAGCTCCTAAATTCCTCTTGCAAAGTCTTTTGGAGCCACCAGGATGAGTTGTGTCTAATGTAACCTGGGTTCAACTTTGTATATTATTACCATATTGCCATCACCCACCAGAATATAAATGGTGACATGTTTATTCCACACTGCATTCCCAGCTCTGAAGCAGGTAGCTCAGAAAAGGCATCAAGACATGGCTCAATGAATTGAACTGAGCAGGATGTAAGATTGGGGGTAAAGAGAGAGAACAGTGGATGTCCTAGACACAAGGAAAGCTGTATAGACAATTGCTGGGGAGCCTAGTTGGCTCTCAGCTTATAGGGGCAGCCATGGAGCAGGAAGACCCTCCTACAGAGCAGAGGAGAAGAAGAACACTGGGAAACTCAGGTTATGAGCAGTCTGTTGTGAGTGGTGCCAGCCCTGGGCAGGTTGTACAAGAGAGCACATGGGGAGCAAGCTAGTAGGCAGCACCCCTCCGTGACTCCTGTATCCTTTTCTGCCTCTAGAAGCCTGTCTTGAATTCTTGCTCTGGATTCCCTCAGTGACAGAGTATAAGCTGGAAGGTGAAATCACCCTTTCTATACCAAGTTGCATTTAGCCATGGTATTTATCACAGTATTAGAAACTAAACTAGGACAGGGGCTAAACTAACTCAGTCAGGAAAATTAACCCCTACTCCCAGCGCCTTTAATATCTTACTTTAAAATGTGGTGGTAAAAAAAGCAGGTGCTTGCAAGAAGGACTTGAGCTGTATCACAGCATATCTGTGTCTTATTAGCATTTGTAGCCTTGGAGAAGTTAGTTCCATGATACTTATGTTTTCTCATCTTTTACAAGTTAATGCTAATGCCCTGCAAGGACACTGTGAGTAGTAAGAGAAGTAACCCTCTTTGGCACAGAATAATTGACATGTTGTATGAGGTGGAAATTGTGTTAATTTCACCCACCAAAACAAGTTGTAAGTACGTACTCAAGATTTGAATTTACAGATGGGGGACGCTTGGGCTCAGAGACAATAGACAGTTGACAGCTGTAGAACAGCAGAACCAGGAGGCAAGCCCAGGGTATCTAGGTCTAGCTCTGTCACCCAGGCTTTTAACCACTGGGCATTCTGCCTCCTACTATCTCATGTCCAACCAAGTAAGCACTCTGTGCTGCTTTAACAGATTTCTACTCCTCACATTGGTTGGAGACAGTATCTCTTTGCATCTGTAGCTTTGTTTCTATTGACTGTTTTCGCTTCATTTTCACCAGTTAATTTCTTATTCTTAAATTTCCTTTTTATTTTTGAGATTGTAAGTTAATCACAACATATATCTCTTTCCTCTCCTCCCTCCAAATCTATATACTCATCCCACTCCTTTTCAAATCCATGGCCTATTTTTTTCATTAATTGTTATTGCATACACATGTATACCTGTATAAACATAACTATCTCTAAATATAACCTATTGAGTCTATATAATGTTACATGGATGTATGTTTTCAGGGCTGACATTTGACATTGGATGGCCATTTGGTTCCTAAGGAGGACCATTCCTCCTGCTCCCAGCTTTACAGTTCCTGTAGTGTCAGACTGAGGCATTTTGGGCTTTTCCCCATCCAATTTGACATGCTCATTGGTGTCTTCCTTGTTCAGTTCATGGTTGGATGGCTGTGTTGGTGAGACCTTATCAGTATGCCTTCTGATGTTACTAGGAGACAACATCTGACAGCAATTCTTTGACTCTCTGGCTCTTACAATCTTTCCACCTCCTCTTGCAACATTCCCTGAACCTTAGGTGTGGGAGTGTTTTGTAGCTCTATGCACTGGGACTGGGCTCCACAATTCTGCATTTAAGTTGTGGGTTTCTGTAGTGGTTCACCAGCTGATACAAAGAGAAGTTTCATTAATGACCGGTGAAGACTATACTTCTCTATGGGGGCCAGGGCAATGTTTATAAGTAGTTAAGTATTATGCTGTGTGAGTAAATTGGTTGTTGTAATCATGAGTTTGCTAGCACAGGGTAGTTAGCTAAGTTTACAATACCAGGACTGATATCTCTGTTGTTAAATGTGTCTTAAGTCCAATTAGAGAACTGTTGGTTACTATCATGTTATCTACTTCTTCATCCTTAGGGTTATGGCACTATGCTGGTTGTTGATGTGTAGGCATCATAGCTGGGTAAGTCTGTTGGTTGCTTCCCTCCCTCTGGTACAGTAAAAGCTAGTCCCTAGGTAAGGGACATTCATGTCAGTTCTAGCTGAGGAGTCTCTGGGTGTCTTTAATGACAGAAGAACGTATCTTCTACCTCTGGGGGGGGGGGTTGGTAGCCAAGGGCAACAGCAACAGGCTGTATGTTTGGTCTTCTAGATATCCCTGGCTAACAATTCAAAGAAGGGGTTCTCTTGTCTGGGTTTTTGTTAGGTAGTCTTTGGCTCTTGAAAAGAGAATCATTAGTCCAGATGAGAAGAATTTGTTAAAACTGTATCTGTATATTTATGAGACTAAATTATGTGCATTGTGGAATTATTTGAAGGTGAATAGCTAATAGTATGATTCCTTGTAGCTTTTCAGACATCCATATTGTTATTTTCCCCACCTCCATCCTTGCTGTCTGTCTTCTTAATTGTCCCCATTCCATAAGGAGCACCCCTTTCCTTATTTCCCCTATCAGATCACTTGTATCCTACAAGCTCCTTTCTTTACACCTTCCATATTTACCTCCATCGCTCCCCCTAAAGACTCCCTCCTTTCCCTATTTCCCCGCTATCTCCCTCTCCATTGCTCCCTAAACCCCATATCCTGACAATGGCCCTGTTTCACTTCAGGCTACTTCAGGCTATGTACTCAAGTTTGAAGATCTGGAGCTAAGAGCCTCCAATAAAAGAGAACATGCAACATTTGTCTTTCCAGGTTTGAGTTACCTCACTCAATATGATCTTTTCTAGTTCCATCCATGTACCTGGTCATGATTAAAGCTCGATGGGGACCTTGGAGGATTCCATGGCAGGCAAGGGAGATGGAAGCAGAGGGACAAACATGCCAGGCAGACAGTGCTTAAGTGGGAAGTTTTATTAGAAAGGGAAAGGGGGCAGGGAGGAAAGAGAAAAGAGGTAAGGAAACAGAGAGCAGACAGAAGAGGGAGACAGGAAAAGTCATGTGTGCCCCAGGGGAACAGCAGGAAAGAGAGCATTAGTGGCCCGAGGCCTTTCTTGTAAAAGGGTCCTTGCACCTAAATACAGACTAGTAGTCATGGAACCCTGGGCTGACCAAGGCACTGCCTGAGTTCATTCTGCCAGGTGATGGGCAGGTCAGCCTAATGCCTGAATCCTTACACCTGGAAAGCTCATGATTTCACTTTTCTTTACAGCTCAATAGTATCCTACAGTGTGTATATGCCATGTTTTCACTGTCCATTTGTTGGTTGTAGGGCATGTAGGTTGTTTCTATATTCTAGACATTGTAACTAGAGAAACAGTGAACATGGCTGAACAAGTATCTATGGGCATGTGCTAAGGAGTGGAATGGGTCACATAGTAGTTCATTTTTAGTGTAGTTTTCTTAAATTCACCACTCTGATTTCCACAGTGGCTGCATCAGTTTGTAACCCACCATCAGCATACAAAGGTTTCCTTTTTGTCTGCATCCCCTCCATCACTTCCAACACTGGCTGCCAATTTTTCCATTGATCTTTGCCATTGTGACTGGGGTGAGATGAAATCTCAAAGTTGTTTTGATTTGCACTTCCGTATTTTCTAGGGATGATGAATTAGCCAGTTACAGGTTCCAGTCCTACTTCTTTTGAATGGATCTTCTGCTGACCCCTTCTTGACTCTGTTTTTTTTTTTTTTTTTTTTTTTTTTAATTTTTTTCCTTGTTTTGAGCTCT